AATGTAACACCCAACATTATGCAAGCACAGAATCTAATAAAACAAATAAATAGGCCTACATATGCTATACATATGAAATTTATTTTATCCAAAAAATGTGTGATATATTATTTAGTTGCGTGAGTTGTGTGAATTAATAGCCTAATTAATTACATGTGTGGAAATAGCCTGTGTCGTCCTTTGTTAACCATTTCACATACAGATGTTACTCATTTCAATGCCGCAGCCACAGTGAAGGGGGTGAAATAATTGATCCTGGACTAACTGCAGTGTGCAACAACAACCAGCAGGTGGCACATGTGAGCAGTTGAGCTGCAGCGTCCAACTGAAACTGTTTGAGAATTAGCAGTAGGCTACTGTTATATTTTCTGCCGGATCTGTACAGTATACTAACTCGTTACACAGTCTTAATTTCATAAAGGACATTTATACTATGATATTTAAACCAACCATCCGTATTATGAAACATAAAAATAAACTTTTAGCTTCTGAAGTATTTATTTAGACAGCTCTGATAGAGCTCAGGATTTATCAGGAGGACGCTGCTTTACTCCAAACAATTTCACTGCATGAACCTGAACTGTGTTTTGGATGTGTAGAAGAACACAGAACATTAATTAACATTAGATCCTGATACATTAGATCCAGATAGGCTAATTAATGAAGTTAGGCTGCTGTGTCTCGTGCGTAAATGCGCACACTGGGGAGACGCACATATCGTTTCTACTGCGGTTTCATCTCTGCAGGTATTTAATAAACTCAAACATCTTTTGAGGAGAGGGTGTTTAATAGTCAGCACTCCCACACCTCCAACTGAAATCATGTTCTCGCAGCTATGGGTTCACCCGCTAATTTATGCGCCATTTATGAGCCACATTCACAACCAAATGTATTTCCCTGCCCAACCAAGAATGAAAAATTAACCATCACAGCAGTATGGATACTTTTCTAGTGTAAGGAAGCAGTTTTCTGTAAAATGTGCAGATTTGGGTTTTCGTTAGCTGATCGGTACTGAACTAATAATGACTGTAGAATATAATAAGCCTCCCACCCCATGTGTGTATATGTCAATCAATCAATCAATCAATTTTATTCATAAAGCCCAATATCACAAATCACAATTTGCCTCACAGGGCTTTACAGCATACAACATCCCTCTGTCCTTTGTCCTATGTCACCCTCACATATGTGTGTACCTTTGTATTTTGTATGGTGTGTTCTGTGTGTTTTTTGCTTTGTAGCCTTTTGTTGTTGTGCTGTGTATGTTTTGATTGTGGGGGACTGCGGATGTAAATTAGCTTTGAGCTAATTCTGGTGCAGTGTATCTTTTTTGTTAAAAATTGTACACTGTCCCAATTCTTATGACTAGTAGGCTATATTTTATAGAAAACAATAGCCTAACCCAAAGATTACAATAAATTAAATGGTATTACAAATTAAGCTCTTTTCTAAAAGTTTACTACCTACTAGAATCCCACGTCCTGTGTTAAATAGGCCTACAATGTATCTTAACTATATTTACAATGAAGCTTGATTCTGCACTCCCACATCCCATTAGACCATACGTGAATGTTTACCGTTCCTATGGCAACAAGTGACCGCTGACGTTAGCGTTAGTTAGCTTAATTCAATCGTCCGACAAACAATAACCAATAAAATTACAATTCAACATATTTTAACAAAATCAACAACAGCTACTAACAGTTACAGTCCTTACAACCTTAGCTAATGTGTTGTCACAGGTTAGATTGTCAAAATTAAAGTCATAACAGCTTAAATCCCTGAGGAACTACGCTAGGATTAGTAACGGTTGCATCCACTCGTATGCAGTTACCTTACGTTACAGTTCCCTCAAACAATATCACGAAGCACAATACAAACTATATAAACAAATTATTTATTAAGGGTACACTACTGATAAAATCTGACGGGGCTTAGGTGACATTTACCCACCTGAAAGAATAAATGAAAACATTTTGCTGGTCCTCAGTAGCTTTACTCTAGGTGTAACTGCCAACTCTCGTGCCTTTACTCAAATCAGTTATGCTTTAAATTGAATGGGGGGCATCTGTATGGTATCTGTAAAGATACAAAATCGATATCATGCATAAAATAATGTCACAATTTAGCGGGCAGATACACATAAATACCCTATATGTCACACATACATTTGCAGTTCTACATCATGACACTGTTGAGGGAGATCATTAGGCTAAATAACAGGGGACCTGACACTGACCCTTGTGGAAATATCATAGTATAAATGTCCTTTATGAAATTAAGACTGTGTAATGAGTTAGTATAGCCTACTGTACAGGTTCGGCAGAAAATATAACAGTACTGCTAATTCTCAAACAGTTTCAGTTGGATGCTGCATCTCAACTGCTCACATGTGCCACCTGCTGGTTGTTGTTACGCACTGCAGCTACTCCTGGATCAATTATTTCACCCCCTTCACTGTGGCTGCGGCACTGAAATGAGTAACATCTGTATGTGAAATGGTTAACAAAGGACAACACAGGCTATTTCCACATATGTAATTAATTAGGCTATTAATTCACACTACGCAACTAAATAATATATCACACATTTTTTGGATAAAATAAATTTCATATGCATAGCATATGTAGGCCTATTTATTTATTTTATTAAATTCTGTGCTTGCATAATGTTGGGTGTTACATTTTAAAAAGAATGGCCATTCTACCCATAAATATCATATATATAT